ATCGATCGACGTTGCATTAGTGCAATCTCAGTCTTCCATGTATTATTCATCGTATCCTTCTCTATTAAATCTTGACTTTTGAAGCCCAAAGTTTCGGGGATGTATTTGCGTATCGTATACATGAACTCTATCACCACTCGCAAGCAAATGCACTCCGCAACATCCTTCGATAACCGTTCCATACCAAGCTACTAGTGTCAGTACAGCTGCAGGTATATATTGTGTCTAGAGCTAAGGACAAAATGTGAACCTTCAAGCTTCGGTTGTACCCATTATGTCACGAGCCACGCCATCCGCCATAACCGCGTGAGCTAGATATGGAATTTCTGTCGCATACTTCAGCCTATCATTGTCTCAATGTACAGTAGTCATACAATGATCAACAAGTTCATCTACCAAGTCTAGAAGCTATAGCCATTTGCAGTTGGCCAATGCTTGTACCTGCGTCTGTGCGTGAACTTTCTTTAAGGTTTGTATTAGTAAGGTTTTTGGGACTCCAATCGTTCGTGTAACCGAGATGCAGTCTTCCAATCAACCTAAACCCAAATGTTTCTGCACCCCGACCATTCTGCGCCTTAATCATACATTCTGCCTAGTGGACCATCAACCTTAGAAAATCATCTAGTTTACAAACGCCCGGCTTGCTTGAAAAGTTTTTAGATGCACAAGCTTCATACAAGGCCAAGCTTATTGACTAAATATTTTATAGTTTTCACGTACTATGCTTAGCAAACGCATCAATCAACAGATGACTTTGATATGTAGTCAAATTCGAGATCTCTCAACTAAGGCTCGATCCTGGGCACGCAGACTCCGAAGCAAGCGCCATGAAATTATTGTTAGTGTGTGGATAGATATTTCCTTGATATCTAGAGCTTGCGATCGTTTAGTCCTTAGCCAAGTGAGTGACACATGAGTATCGTACGGTTATGGCAAAGTAAGTATTGGATAGAGTTTCCGTGCCTGAAGCTTGGAGCATTCAAACGTGGTATTTCTTTTTTACTTATATGGCATGATTTTCCTAGAAGAATGGGAAGACCATTTAAGTTCTTACTTATACCCGTCGATATATTTTTGGAAATAGAGAATTCCTTTTGAAATCATATCATTCCAATACACACAAGTTGAACACTGAATCTCTTCAATCTGAAATCAAATTACATCCCTGTGCACAATCAAAATGCCTTCCTCATCATCATCATCGTCATCGACGTCCAATATCCAAAAAATAAAAAAACTCTTGTAAGTTCACCCATGCTATATCTTTCCTCATATTTGACGCTAATACCCACCCTCCAGTAAGCTCAAATCTCTATCTTCATCACGCTCAAACTCGCGCTCTACAAGTCTATCCACAAGTCCATCCAGCACCTCTCTCCACTCCCCCCATCCCTCACCCACCTTCGACTCCAAACCCCGCATCCACTCCTCCTCAACCATAACCTCCATCACCTCCTCCCACTGCTCGCACTCCTCCTACTCCACCTCCCGCAAAGGATCTACCTCCGGACTCTCCACCTCTGGTCTCTCCACCGCAGCAGCATTCTCCCTCTCATCCTCTAACCACACCATCCTCGAAGACTCCCGCAATTCCATCGATTCTCGGAATCGCATCGCGGGTCTCGGACTCCGCGGAAGTGGGATTGGTATGGCGATGGGTGGGGAGGCAACTAGGTGTAATAGTCTCTCATCGATGATTTCGATTGGGGAGTTAGAGATTGAGAAGACGGAGACGTTTGGGGTGGAGTTTGAGGAGAGGGGGTTGGGTTTGGATTTGGATGAGGAGAGGAGGAAGGAGAGGAGGAGGGGGAAGGTTTGGGAGGGAGAGTTGGGGTTGGGGCAGTGGATTTGTTAGGCTTGGGTTTGGAGGTCTCGCTTGGGTTTTGAGAGAGGAGAGAGGGGTGGGGGAGAAATCAATTCTTGGATTGGAAAGCATTCATTCATTCGTGATAATCTCACAGATTATCAATTTCTTTTGTCACTTTTCTTTTTTGTTTGGAAGGATAGCGTCGTCATCGTCATAGCTGGATGGATGACAGCATGGGTCTTAATAAAGACCGGAATTGAGAAAAAAGCATGGATGGATTGGATATGAATATGGATATGGATATATAAGTATCAAGGGCTGATTACTTGAGTATTGCATTGATGGGATGGATTGGACGGGATGGGATGGGTACATCGGACTTTAATCGAGCCGATTTTTATTTTTTTGCTTTGTTGTTTTTGGGGGGGAGAGAGGAGGAGGTTAGGATATGGAAGGGAAGGGAAGGTGGGGGGGGGGGGAAGTGGGATAGGGAATGGATGTTATGTATTATGAATATGATGATAATGCTTTTTCTTAAGATATAACATTTGAGATTATGTGATTATGTGATTGTTATGTAGTTCTTGATATGAGGGGGATGGTGATTATGGCTGAGGGGTTATGTGTCGAGAGTTGTCTCGAGAGTTATCACTGTACTTTGGAGATGGAGATGTAAATTGGAAGGAAGGTGGTATAGTATTGTGATATGTATGTATGTATGTTTGTATAGAATGGTATATTGATTGACATATTACTAATGAGTGATTCTTGATAGATAGATAGAATAGGATAGCATAGGATAGCATAGGATAGATTGGAATGGGATGCCGGGGGGGGGAGTATATGATTGTGGGTTACTATTGGTTACGGGGTTGGTAGGTAGGTACGTATGTGTCCAGGTATTTCATTGGAAGAAAGATTCTTTGGTAAAAGCGTAGGAAGGAAAATCTATTGATTTCTTTACTTGTGCTATTTATCTTTTTGAGTCCTTCCCTGGAGAAAAGGAATAAGAGGAGACTTTAAGGCTCATATGGTTAACTCTGACTTTAACTCCGAAGAATGATATAATATGATTTCTCCATCTAATACCTAATTTGGCATTCTATGACACGGTACAGTAAAATAACATCACTATCTAACCGCATAAAGAAACCCCGCAATCTCAGGTTCGAAAATCCCATCTCGCACTAAGTAGTCTGCGGCTTCTACAAGCCATGATTGACAATCTTTCTGGGTTAATTTTTTTGCCTGTTTGGGTTTGTGTCTTGGAGGAGGAGGGACGTGTTAGTATGGTATGGTAATGTGTAATGTGTAATGTGATGTGGATGTGAATATGGAGTAATCTGCTGTGGTGGAGGAGGGGGTAGAATAAAAAGTCTCGTTCACTCGAACAGAATTAAATAACTAACATAAAAAATCTCACAAACCTCATCTCCCACAGAATTCAACGTTTTCCTCGGTACCTCTGCTTTTTCTACACTTTTCTCAAATGCACGAATCGTTCGATCGTACATATCTGCATCCACATCCGTCTCACAATCCTCCTCATCCAATTCTTTTCCCCCATCAACCCATTGCAGCGGGATCTTCTTGGTAGGAATATCCTCCGTAGTATATAAATTGTACCCCTTCTGTATCTCAAAACGAAATCCATTCCTCACATCTCCGGTGATGTGGATACGAAAAGGGGAGCGGATGAAATAGGCCCAGTGGTCTTTATAGGGGTGGCCGTTGCAGGTGAGGAGTTTGGAGAGGAAAGTGTTTGGGGGGGTGAGGGGTGAGGGTGATGGATTGGAAGGTGGGTTTGTGGGAGTGAGGGGTTTGGGAAATGGGGGGGGGGGGAGGAGGAGGGGGTGGTGGTGGTGCAGGTATTTGAGGAGGGATTTATGTTTTGGAGATCTTCTAATAATGGACTGGAGTGATCAATCTCTGTTGATTCACCAATTATCGTAGAGTCCCTATTCTGAACGGGTATATGAGAAGGGGTCTGAGAGGTCATAATGATAGCATCAATCTTTTCAATGTCGCCAATAAGGTTATGTACACATTTAACAACGCAACTTTAACCAAAAAATCCGCGACGGTCGAAGTTCGAACAAAAGAAAAAATAGCTAAAGAAGTGGCACAACCCAAAAAGTAAATAATTCTTGGAAAAAGAAATTCAAAAATTCCTTTTCAGTAGAATTTCTAGGCAGTCGTTAATCACTGTAGGTTAAATCAGCCTTATAAAAATGGGTCCTGATACTGTACTGTCCGGGATAAGCTTAGGTTAAGGGGTCCCACAAATTTGTGCCGTGAATGTTGTTGGCGCTTTTGCTTTACATCACTTATGTTATGTGGCTCGTGGGTACGAGTATGTGTTTTGGGGTTTTTTGGATGGTGTTTCTGGGTGATGTGATTTTTGGGGGTTGAGTTAGAGGGTGTTTGATGTGAAAAATAGGAGATTTAGTGAATGTGAGGAATTGAGTAGATGAAGGGTTGAGAATTTTGAAACAAGATGGCATTGATATAAGCGAGCGGATTTCCTACATCATTAATCCACAAGAAAATGGTTCGATAATGCTGCTCATAAATTCTCTAATTAAACCAATATTGAGTGAGATAGTATTTAAAAACAAATCAAATTTCACTAAGCTATTCAATTACAGCGAAGCCGTTCCAGATTTTCACTTAGAAATTTTTGCCGAATTATGTTCATTAGGTCTGTTTTTTTCGGTTCACCAATCATGCGAACACCAAACCCTAATTTTAAGGAATATCATTGTCTGGGCATTATCCGGTATATTATATATTATTACACAATGTGAGAGCTTCAGAACGGATTATTTGCGTTCCGTTCCGTCCCGAACGGGTAGAAAAATACTATTCCGGTCCAGAAAATGACGTATATAATATCTTCTTAAAAATCTTATGTTTCGCAGATTATGATTTTCACTATTCTTGGACTTTGTTTTGTGTTCAAGAAAGAGGACATGGTTTCCGAATAATTGTCCAATCTATTACATTACTATTGACATCCGCTATTGATATCTGTAGGTGCTATGCAAAAATGATATAAGTACATAAGGTAAAGTGAAGAAGATTCCAACTCTCAATTTTGGAATCATCCTGTTACAAAAAATCAACTTCGAGAATTACAAAAAGATAAACGTTGTTCCCATTCCAAACTCCAAAAGTGAATAGAATCGACAATTTAGTTTTCAAGAAGATGCTTTCTTTTTCTCTCACGCAATAAATCAAGAACGAGTCGAATTTCATGAATATCCCATACCAAACAAGACGATTCTAGAATCTTTAGAACCCATTCAGACTCTATAGGACTTGTCGTGCGCGCCTGAGCAATACCCTTAGGATATAGAAAATTGATACATGCTAGACGGTATGGGCTTACGTCCCTGTGATTCCTCCAGTAGTTGATCCATTGATCTTCATTCCTCTCTACAGGCAATGCCACGAGACTTTTGTCTACCTCGACATTTCGTAACAGTTGCTCTTCTGCCCACTGCTTTCGTGCGTTCTGTTCTTCTAATGTCAGATCATCAATCATGTCCCTGAGAAATGAAATGTTCCCGTTAGAAAAGATGCCGCAATTGATGTCTGTAGCCTTGAGAACATAGAGGCCGTTCCAATCCAACTTCGCACATTGTTTCGAATCGAGATGCTCTCTCAATGGCTCGAGAAGTGACATTACAGTATTGAAGCTCGCGCATTCAAATTTGTATCGATCGTAGTCTTCATCTTCTTCTATGGGGTAGTCACGGTCTGGCTGAACACACAGGCTGAGCTCGAGTATTTTCCTCGTTCTTGGTGTTCCTCCCTCCCCGTTTCCCAAAATTTGCCCGATAACTTCTTGGATTCTCCCCTCAAACAGTCTGTAAGAGTCCGCGTCCTCAGTTAAGAGTGAGCCAGCATAATCCCCAATACTACTGATGTTCAACTTGATGCGCCTGATTTGACTGCCTTGATGAACTAAAAAGTGGTCCAATCTCTGTCGATCACTTTCACTTCGGCCAGGGTGATTTTCATGCTCATTCTGGGCCAGTATTGCTTCGAAATTGAAGTCTGCCGCTTCTACTGTATCTATCCAGCCTCCGTCCGATTCGTAAATCTCAGGAAATCCCAGATAATCAGATTCCTCGAGGTCCAGTGTAATCGGAATGAGCGTTTCTCGATAAAATTCTGGCAAAAGTCCAGCTCGCACATCCTTGGACATCGATAGCATATTGAGTGCATCCTTGATATGTCTCGTTTGAATTCCATAGTTAGAGAACCTTGAACTTTTGTCTTGAGCCTCCTTGAGAAGCCGTTTGAATATAGTTTGTGAAACTTCGCTTGGAAGATTGAAAAAAGTCAAGCGTTCGCTTCTCTTTGGAATGGAAGCAGAGGTCAGATTTGAGTTTTCGCTACGTTTGTTGGTGAGATTGATGATTTCATCCGAGGAAGACATCTTGTAAATGTGTGAAATGATAGGAAATTATAATATGATACCCGCGTATACAAGTATGAGTAGATACGAGTGTGTAAATGTCTTTGAATGTACGAATAAGTATGAATATATGAACGTATATGAATACTTGTGAACGTCTGATACGGAGATGTCAAAGTGTAACAGAGGAGCAGGTAATCTATTGAGAGAGAAAAAAAGTGTTGAAGATTCTCATATGTCATTAGAAAGTTGAGAGAAAACTACACCTCATAGTACATTTTTTGGACATGTCTGGTTCAGACCGGAGCATCACTAGTCTATAAATCGATCAACTAGATGGCACAGATCGAAACACTCTAAGATTCCTAGTGTACTTATCTTTCAATTTGTTGTCAAATCGTAGACTGATATCTCGGATTCTGATCCGATCAAGCACACAAATGAATAAGTGGAAAATGAAGCATGAAATGAACACACAGAATGATTTCAATACCTAAGATATCCATGATCAAATCCAGCCAGATTGTTGGAAACTTAGATATCACTGTTCTTGTCATGAACTAGTCATGACTTAGGAGACCTAGCTCCCAGACTAAGTACATGAGACAGTGTGAGCTACCCCAGGTTTTTTTTTCGAAAGTAGAAATTTGCGGGGCGCTCTCGGCAAACTAGGCGAACTTGGCGAACCATAGTTGCACGTGATTGAATTATGTAATCACGGACTTCAATCTCTCAACCTCGGCATTGCAGCCTCGCGATACATTCAGACATTGAGAGCTTCTCATTAACAGATTCTTATAACATTCAACTTCATTTTCATATCTATCTATAATGTCTGCGGCTGTTTATTATGCCATATGAAATGCAAATAGTGTCAATTTTAATATCTTTCAATATTCATCTGATAGTCTCGACGTTGGCGTCTCTCTCAACTACAAGCTCATCACAATCGAATCGCGAAGTCGAGAATTGAATTCACACGAACTTATAAGAAACCCACGAATTTAACTATCTGCATTGTATATCAAAGTCTGCCATTGCAACTCAGACTGTCTAGTACAGCTTCTTTGAACCCAAGCAGCCATCCAATATCTCACACAACACACCTCACCGCGCATCCACAATGTCTTCCGAACCACCCCTCGACCCCTACAAACCCTCCCTATTTGAACTCCTCTCCTCAACTCAACTTTCATCTCTTCTTCCTCCATCGCTGCACTACCTCCTAACCGTCGCTACCCATCGACATCCACGGCATCTCCTCCCAATCCTCAATTCTTTCCACGAACTCCACGCCCTTCTCTTCCTAGCAATCGAACACCACTACCTAACAACCTACTCCTCCTCCTTCGTCGAAAACTTCTACTCTCTAAAACGCGAACGAGCCTTACCCCCTGCGATAGGCTCCTTAAAATTGACTGCCGAAGGCGCCAACGCCAGTCTACGAGAAGCAACAAAACTCACAACAAAAGATGTATGGAAGAACCTCGCCGTCTTGGTCGGAATCCCCTATCTCAAACGCCGTCTCGATGAATCCGCAGAAATAAATGCACCTCGCGCTCTGCTCGGCGCAAATTACACCCGCATGCCACCAAATCCTACACTCCGCCAACGATTTCTCCATTACTATCGCTGGTTTCTTACAAATGTATACCCCAGCGTCAACGCCGCGTATTATTTTAGCATCTTAGCCTTCAATCTACGCTACCTGTTTTCCAATTCCAAATCCGGTTCAGGAGTTTACTCCGACCCCTTTCTCTGGCTTATAGGCACTCGCATACGACGATTAAGTCAGGCAGATTTCCAAGCATTCGAAGCTCTTGCAAATGCCCCTTCATCTACGACACCAGGAAGTAATTTGGGTATAAGAAGTTTGTTGGATCCGAGATTAGCCATGGGAAGATTAGGGGCTGGATTGAAATTGTTGTTACCAACGAGTATTTTTGCGCTCAAGTTCTTGGAATGGTGGCACGCGAGTGATTTTGCGAGACAATTATCGAAGAAGGCAACGGAAGGATTGGAGCTACCACCGCCTATCATTTCATACACACCATCTGCCACTACTCCCTCCAAACCATCATCCTCATCAAAGCCAGAAATCGCATCTCCAACATCCCCAGAAGATAAATCCTCAGAGGAGCCCACCAACCCACCCATCTCAACTCTCACCCACCTCCCCATCTACGTTGTCCCTGCGCCTTCCTCAAGCACCGAGTCTCTCGAAAACTGTCCGATCTGCTTGCAAGAAATCACTACCCCGACGGCTTGTCAAACGGGTTATGTATACTGTTATACTTGTATTCATCGTTGGATCGAGGGGGTGCATGAGTTACAAGAGACGTTTATGAAAGGAGGAGCAGAGGTGGTAGCGAGTGGTGAGAAGGAAGATAAGATGGAGAAGGAGATATATAGGGAGACAAGAGAAGGGAAATGGGAAAGTGGCGCGGGTAGATGTGCGGTTAGTGGAAGGAGGGTTTTGGGTGGTGTGGGGGGGCTGAGGAGGGTTTTGGTTTAAGGAGGAGGATACATATTGGAATGGAAAGTCGGAGGTACGAGATGAGGTGAGATGAGATGATACGCCTCCCCGAAATTTCGAGATCGTATCATACCATACCATACTATCATCCGTGGTCATCAAGAGAAGATACGAAAACCCACAACGAGACGAAATAATGTCCCTTTTACAATTTTTTAGAAAGCGAAGCAGGAGCATTTCAAATCGGAGTTTGGATCTCATGCCATGTAAAGTCACGAAATTAATAGCATTCTGGCGTTGCATTTCAATTTCACTTCAATATTTACTGAGATATCACATATACATATATAATGAAACCATCAAGTCAGTCAAAACCCAGTCACCACCCCACAAATACATAAAGAGAAGGTTAAGCTATATCTCTTTGCTATTCAACTATCATTGAAGAACAGGCTAGCTAGCTATGTATTATCCATGCTGGTATGATATAACCTAAGTGAGGAGAACTCGCCATCATATCGCGGCACACATCGCATCTTATTGTGATCGATGAAAAAATCGGCCGTGTCCTCTGCAGAGGATATCTCATGTAAATATGCTTTCAAGCAAAAACACCTCATTGGATCGAAATAAGAAGAAACTCGCTGGTGAAAAGCTTTTGGAATATTATCGTGTCTTCGCCCCCCGCTCACTAGAAATCTAAGAAATCATCTGGCCGTAAAAATCATGGTCGTGAAATTCGTGTCGTGAATTGCGAGAAACTCAATGCTGTCTACCCATCATCGCAAACAAAAGGCTAAATCATGTCGAGCTCGTATCGTGATCGTAAGATCGTGCTTGAAGTATCGAAAATCTCTCCGTTGTTGTTGTTGCTGCTGCATGCCTATAACTTCACGCTTCAAATCTCCAGCAATTCTTGTTTTTGTGCTGTCAAAGACCCCGCAGCTTCATTTGCCCTTTCACCTCCATTCAAATCACCCTCAACTTCCTTCAAAATACTGCCAACAACCTCTTCTCGATATCCCATACTAACCCCCTCCATCCCATCTTCACGCTCAACAAATTCGACATTACCCTCTTCATCAAAAACATCCCCCTTACATGAACATCCGTATTCTTCTCTGAATTCTCGGACACTCATCCCCTCCAATTTTACTAAGGCTTTCCTAGCTGCTCCTACCCTAGCATATCTCATACTTTCGGCAGTGGCAGTTGATACTACCTTATTATGCACAATGACGCCACAAATCACAACGTTCTTTCTACCATCCTCTCCAGGTACTTCCTTACTGACTGGTGCCCAGTCTTCACATCCCATGTTCTTTTGCAAGAAATTTGTTAAGAAAGTGGTTGGATGCTTGTTAGCATAGGTATCATAAATGCTCATATCATCAAAGTACCATCTAATATGCATTTCAAAGAATTTTTCAACTTCATCGTAGTCATACTCAGAGTCGACAAAAATGACACCAACGAATGCTTCTACGATATCAGGAAGACATTTAGGAGGTTGACGAACGGCGATCCAATAATCACGAGCGTAATCATCTTCTGCTTTACCAGCTCTCTTTGCGTCTGCTTTGGCTTGAATGAGGGCTTCATTGATATCTGAGGAATAATCTGCAATCATTTTTTGGACTTGAGAATCGAGTGTCAGAAGATGTTTATGGAAGCCTAATTTAACACAAAGAGCTCCAAGAAATTGGTTGGATACCATAGCCATCTTGTGCTCAGTGAGCCACTGAGGATCTTTGGTTGGATGATTGTGAAAAAGGAAGTTGACACATGCCATATCGAGCAGCGAATCACCCAAAAATTCGAGACGTTGATAACAAGGAATTTGTTCGTAGATGAACAAGTATGCCGGATGGATGAAAGCTGATCTTAACAGGCGTGGGTGCTTAAAATGATATGGATGTTTCGACTCAACTTGTCTTGCCATATCAATTTGTGCAGCTGTAGCTACGGCAGTTTGCCATTTTGGTTTCTCATACAATCTGTAATAATCAGACCATACAACAGCATTGTGGTTGTCACTATTGACGACTTCGGTAACGGCACGAACTGCATTATCCATGGATTTGCTTTCGTGATGACTTAGTAAAGCAGCGCCAATCATTGCTTCACAAACATCTGCAACTGACTTATCACCGAGCTTGTGGGTATTTGGTGCCGTGGCTGTCTTTCCTCTTAATAACTCGGGACCTTCGGGATACCAAGCACGTCGGTTGAAGGCTGCTGACCGAATGTATTTGTAAAGCTCCAGTTTCAAAGCCGTGTTGAACAGATTTTTGTTGCAAATCAGACACATACGATCAACATGGTAACGAAATTCGTCACTATCAGGGTTCAGACCGTATAGGGATATTGATGTTCCCATCTTCAGGAAACAATCCCCAAGAAACTCCAATCGTTCATAATTGTTGCCCATTCCTCTTTGAAAGTTTGTTTGTTCCTCACCATGCTCTCCAGAATTGTCGGAATCTTTGGTAACAGCTTCGAGCGCAAGATCAGGACGAATGTCAAGATGTAATAAGTCAGTTACTTCAAGAGCAATGAGATATGATTCAACTCGATGAATGATAGCAGGCAAAAGATAAGCCATTGCAACCACAGTAGTTGGAAGAGGCGATACCTTTAACGGTTCCAGAATAACAAAACACTTCTTTGAAGTCTCGACCTCTCCTCCATCAAACTCATCAAGTAAATTTCTTCGAAGTGAAATGTAGGTTGCTTCAACAACAGGCTGTTCTTCATCAAAAGTTCGTCTTGTTCTAGCTTTTGCCCAGAGACTACAACTATACTCCATGATATTACTATTGTTCTTTCTAGCTCCGTTCCTGGGGGCTGTATTTGGTGGGACTGGATCTAATGGTTTGTATTCTTTTGTGATACCAACGGACCACAATTTCCGAGATCCATCAAAAGGATCAGTTATAAATTTGTCCTTGAAATAATCATCGGGCTTTCCTAACCATGGCTTGTGCTCCCATGGTTTATCGGCTTGCTTGTTCTCAAAATCTTGGACATATTCAACTGTCTCCCAATCAATTATTGACATTGGGATTTGTGATTTCCAGTCGACGATGGTGTTCCGGCAGTTGACAGGAACTATAAAGTAGGGCATACTATCGGGGTCTGATTTGTAGGCTTTACTGAACACATCTTGGAATAAACATAGGGTGAACATATTGACTTGGTCAAGCATGTTTCCTTCGAGCGTAATTGAGGAAGCGAGAGGTACGCACGAGACTGGAGAGTTTCGTCCTCCTCCGAAATGAAGAACAAATTCTGGCAAATCAGGCAAGGGAGATCTTGTCAGCAAGCCCAAGGGTTGAGATACTTTGTCAAGACTATCTGGAGCTTTGAGAGACAAGACGGTCATATAAAATATGCCTTGTTTCCCCTTGGAAGACCATAAAGTTGGTTTAGTCTGCATATCATAAGCTTCTCGCTTTTTTCCATCCACAGCCAAAAGTGCATTTCTCATCATGTGTGCCGATTTTTTGAATGTAGAAAGTAGGTAGTCGTTGATGTACCCTTTCTGATGCAGAATAACACACGTTTCAAAGGCTGCGGAGCATTTGGCCACTTGCTTGGTTGTTGCTGGTCGACCAATTGCTCCACGAATAGGTGCTTCTTCTGGTAAGATGACCTCACAAATAAATTGCTTATCAACAGTTGTGACGACATAATCCACCCGAAGAACCGACTCTGGGGCTCGAGGAAGTGAGTCGACGAAGGCGGATAGGACTGTTAAACTCATTCTATAAGTAAGCTTTGCGTCACTATTTGGAACAGAGTAGATTCGGTGGCTTCGTTCCTTCTTAAGGAAGTAATCCATATTGAAATTGTTTCCGGTCAATTTCCTATCTTCTGGAAGTGCAGAAGCAAAAAGCTTTAGCATTTTCTCATGCTTCAAAACCTCTTTGATTGTACGAATCTGTTCCTCGTTGTGGTTCTCTACCATGTGGTAATACCTTGAGTTGACATGCCTAGCACGACCTCTGGATTGAATGTACTGAATGACTGTATTGTACAAATCGAATCTTACAACGAGGTTACAGTCAGGAATGTCGAGACCTTCTTCAGCAACTGATGTTGCGATAAGGCAGTTGATTTTGCCATTGCGGAAATCATGCATGGTGAGGGTTTGCGATCTAAAGGTGATGTGCATTTCTCCGGCTGAAGCAGACGTAGTACCAACCTGTAAGAGTGTTATAAATTATATTCAGTGAATAGAATCAGTTACATACCAGCGGTGCAACCTTTAAAAATGGTGTACCGGCTTCAGGTGTGGAGAGGAGCGAGGCTAGAAGGCGTGCGGTATATCTTTCTCTGACAAACACAATACACTTGTCATTGGTGGGCCGCTGGAAACGATCTTTGAGGATACTTAGAAGAGCGACCACTTTGGTAGATAAATTGTTCGAATAGTGAAACTTTGTTGTAAGATCATCAGATAATCTTGATGCAAAGTGAGGTGGCTCGAAAGTGTGATTTTTGACAATGGATTTGGCTTCTTCAAGTTGTTCCTTGCGCTTCTCTAGCACTTCAAGTGGCTCCTGGACTCTTTTCTTATGATGAGCCTGCTCCGTCTTTGCTTGTAGTTTCTTAGACTCTTCTTCCTGAAGACAGAAAGTCCAGATCTGGTCAACACACCAAGATCCTAGAGTCCTACTAGCTTCTGTCCCGAATACAAATGGCTTCCGAAAGATAGGATTGTCCTTTAGAAGCGGGAGCATTTGAAGATAAAGAGGAGTATTAAATTTCGGGCCCAACGGATCATAGTAGGCAATAGTCTCAGGTTTGCCTTTGATTGAGTATTGCAGCAAGCTGGGATCTTCTGCAGTGCAAATTTGACTCTGTAACAGACCTTCGAGTTCCTCAGCAGCTTTCTTGACATTATCTCTAGCATCTACAGGTGATGCTGTCATCCCAAATATCTTAGGCAGAGCGAAATCTTTTCCCGTGTCATTGCGATAAAAATCCTTAATAATCCTGGCATAAGGATGATCCTTCTTTGCATGGTGGGCTTCATCGAAAATTAGCAGATTTATTTGAGCCATTGTAACAAACGAATGGTGCAAGCATTGACGTAAAATTTCTGCAGTGCAGACAATGACCATGTTCGCATCCATTCGTTTCTTCCACTTTATGTGATCGGACAGATCAGTTCCCGTAAGCCCGCAGATCATGTCTGTTGGCTGATTGAGATTGTTTCTGAGTACCGAGTGTTGTTGGTGACAAAGGGTCACAGAATCAACCTTGTTTAAATGTTAGAGTTGATCTATCAAGTATTATGACAGACTTACCAAGAAGAATGAAACACGATGAGGCTTGCCAATAGCTCTATCTTCAAGCTCTTGGTCTATGATCCACCGAAGTAAGAGAACTGCAATGAATGTTTTGCCAGACCCTGAAAATATTAGCTAGATTGAAACGAAAAGAACGACCCAAGAAGAGCTTACCTGTATCAAGCACAGCTATAATGTTCTGTTTCTTTGCCTTTTCAAATAATTCAAGTTGATAGTCCCTGGGGCTTTCTATAATATGCTGTTTTTCTGCCTGGTCTATCAACCACCGAGTAGACTGAATCGCTTCATCATTCGCATGTGAAATCTTTTCCGTCTTTGGCTGTTTATTAGCTTCCTTGAGAAAAATGTCAAATATGGCAGCATTCTTTTGCTTTCGTGCCGAGATACGTTTAATATCGGGGATGGCTTGGTTCATGTCCTCTTCCTCTTCCTCTTCCCCATCCTCTTCGACAACAGGCAGATCTTTTTGGTTGGAACCTTGACTATTGTCTAGAACTCTATCATTTGTGTTCGAATTATCAAGAGAAGAGGAAGGTGTATCGTCAACCTGGTGACTTGCTTGATGCAAAGGCAGCCTAAGCTCTGCGAAGACATCATCGGTTGTTCTTGTAGCAAGTGCAAATGGTGCAGGGACTTGGTTGATTGGCGACAAATTAGCAGAATGTTTCTCCAGAGATGGTGAATCAAGCTGTAAAGAAATGTTTCCAGAAGGAATTTCGTTTCCAGAATTAAATGGTACAACAACGGGAGAACCTGCCTCGTCATTTTTGGCGTGTAGAGGGACTCCAGGATCTGGCATCTTAGAGCTTTTGGCTGAATTAGGGGCGATTATTGCAGACTGCTGTGCAGGAACCAAGTCAATGACCTGTTGAGGACCCAGTTAGCCAATACGGAGAGTCTGAATACATAGAACTAACCGTCGTCGCAACCACATCCGCATGGTGAGGACCTTGTGACAACACCATCTCCGCGGTCTCAGCAAGGAAAGGTTTATCAAAGGTATTGGCTTGAGGTATACCTATTTTGGAAACCTCTTGAAAGCCTTCGCACTGGTGAGTATTGATTATAGCTTGTTTGAGTATCTGTGAATTGAGACCTTTTGGGTTTTCGATAGGAGAAGGAGTCCAATTTCCCTTCAACCCCTCTGTTGTGCGGGGCAAACTTGAAGAAGGAAAAGGATTCAATGATAAGAACGCGGTTGAACTGAAATTGAGTTTTGAGGCGTGAATTTGGGCGAGGTTTTTAGCTTTGGGAATTTCCTCTTTTGGCAAATCCTGCTTTGGGGGAGTGAATTGGATAAGATCAGGACTTGAAGATCTTGAAGACTCCTCTGGTAAACTTGCTTCGGGCAATGGTATAGTCGTGTTAGCAATCGGCGTGGAGAGGCCTTGCCCTAAATTAGTGAAAGATTGTTGAGCAAACAAACTCGAAGCTTGAAATGAACGAGAAGATTTATTAAAGAGTGGTCTCTCTGACTTCCTTAAGGGAGGTCCAAAGATAAATTCCACTTTGCTATCAGGTGAAAGAGGAAGAGAACTTTTGGCATCACCTTGATTGCCTTTTGAAGTTGATTGCAATTGGGTAGAACGAGAAGATAGGGAAGCCTTTTTGAGACAACCACTGTTGACATCTACTATAGCATTTCCATTGCCATTTGCAGAAGGTATATTATCTCGAATTGTATACTGAGTGACAGAAGAAGACAAGAGTTCAGATGGAATGGCAGTAACAACATCATCAAATGATAAAAGGTCCTCTTCGTCTAAAGGAGCTATTTCTTTTCTTCCTGCTTGTTGATTTCTATTAGTTTCCATTGTTAATGCTGTAGAATTGTTTGATGTTGCATTCATGCACCTCTCCCAGCGCATGCTGCAGGGTGGGATGAGGTCTATAGTGCAACACTGGTAGGCCGAAGTCAAAATATAGAAATGATGAACAAGAAAACAGGAAAAGAGGAAAGAGGCAGGAAAAGCGCAACTACACTGTTAAGGGATAAGGAGAGGGTTTTCAAGATGCAATAGATATTTGCAGAGTGATGAGAGGTGAGAGGTGAGAGGAATTGAATTCTTGCTGTCTGGTTGTGATATTGAGAAGAAGTGAATTTCCCCTCCATGATAACCTTAATCAAGACTTTTTGCTGCTGATAAGTTTCTTATCATCTGTGGGGCGTCATTCACTTGTGGCTGAAATATGCTAAAGATCTTTCCCCCGATTTAGAAAGAATGAAGATATATAAATTGTAGCAAAGAATCGTATAACGAAAGCGCGACTGTTGTTACCCGATTAAGCTATTCTTTGAGATTCATCTACTATGTAGAGTGCCTACCAGGTAGATTTACTTACCTATTGTGGAGAAATTTGTTACAGATCTGCCAAATTTGATCAAATCAGGAAGGCGGTCTGACATCCATCGGAGGCGGCCGCATTTCTCCAGCAATTTTGGGCTTTACAGCTAATCCCCCACTACAACACCACACTGTTGCCCTGAAGCTCTCCCAAATTATTCATCGTATACCTAGTATCTCCCGACTACCCCCAAATCCGCAGATATCCTTGGAATTAACTTGAGTATGGCAGATAGTTCTCTCAAAACCCTCTTCAGTTCAGCAGAGCGCCAAAGACTTGCTATTGAATCATCATGGGATACAAATACAGAAAAATATCAGGACGATGTTGCGAGTGCGCTCACTGCATACCAAGAATGTCGGCAGCTTGCAGATAGACTTGCATTATTCAGCCCAAACGAAACTTTGGAAGATATCAATTCTAGTGATATACAGTATGTTCATACGCATGGATTTAGGGCAGTAAGCTGATGACCCTGTTTAGATATTTGGTCATTCCTTACAGGATCGCAGATTTGGGTCAACGTCTTTCCACAAATACTATTGATCGAAAAGTAATTTTGCAAGAGGCAAAAAAATGTTATGAAGCATTTTTAACTCAACTAGGATATTATGAGATGCTATCTACTGCAGAAAAGAAGTTGTATGCTGAATATCAAGAATCGCCATCTACGTTCTCAACCATTTCCACCACAGATCCAACTGCAAGAAGGAATGCAAAAATCGCAAATTTTAAGATGGAGAAGGAACTTAAAAAGAAGCTGGATGTATGTGTCGCCGGCTTACGCAGAGTTTATTCTATGCCGAGCAGCCCTCATACATATCTTCTGATTTGGTGCAACATGCTAACAATTGTAGTTTCTGGCAGCAAATCCAGCCTATCTACAAAACGACGAAGACGCCATTCGCGAATTAGAAATTGCTAAACTATCCTTGTGTTCGCACAATGCCTTTCAATCACTCGAATCCATCAACCGCGAACTCGAGATCTTGGCTATGGCACCTGTGGGACCACAAGTTCCCCAAGGTCAGCAATCAGATAACAGAGAACGAATTGGAGGTTTACGTGGACCAGACGCAGGATACTCGGATCGCTTGGATATGAGAGATATAACTACAAATAACAAAGGGCCAATCTTGAGTACCGGAGGGAAGCCATTACGGCCATTTACTCTGCTAGAAAGTAGACAAGCATTACAAAAGGGTGTATTCAGACCAGGGCATAATCTACCAACCATGACGATAGATGAATATCTGGAAGAAGAGAGAGCGAGAGGTGGTATAATTGAGGGCGGTGGAGAGGCAAGTGGTATTATACCTGAGATTGATCCTGATGATTTTGAGAAAATGGACGAGGAGACCGAAAAGGCTAGAAGGTGGGATGAATTTACAGAGGATAACCCAAAGTAAGTTGGAGCTTTTCCAGTTTTAGGAATACACACTAATGATGTCTCTAGGGGCGCTGGAAATACCTTAAATAGAGGATAGGCTAATGATTAATGAATGTGATACCAGTTGGGCTAGGCATCGATACCTCTGTTTCCATCTTACTGCCAGGCGGAGATATTGGTAAAATGTGCATCCGCTGTCGGTTTGTAATCACATACAGTTTCATGCTGGATTATGCAGTTCTGACATGCAAGTAAGCTTCAAATTAAACTTCGATCCGAGTTCTATCTGCAAAGCTGTCAAATTCGACCGCAATACACGTTCAATTACCAAAAGCCTGTCATTAAGCAACCTCGTCATCACATCACGCGCGTTACTCATTTGCTGGTCAAAAAGCTCATCACATTTCGTGTAACCTTGGGCATCCATATCAGCTTGCCATCTTAATCGTGGCCCTTTAACATTCATCTACCATTCCCATCGTCCTCGGTCGTGCATTCATTGATCCGGACTAGACGACTATCCTATGTGTTGGACAAATGCTAACCACACAGATCAAGGAACATTCCGGAGTGCAGTCGTGAACTGTCCATCTTATAATTCATGGGCACTCATTAAAACTGAAGTACTGCGTGCCTGCTTCAATTATGTTCAAGGCCTATAGGATGCATTCATAGTCCTCGAATTCTTAACGATAAACTAACCAATAGGAATCACCACCGAACACGACGGTACTCGGCGGACATCTAAGACCTAAATAAAAGCTCCCGCCACTGGGCGACATTGTAGGCTGAGCTAAGGTCGAATGTAGATCACGTCCACCACGACTATAATATTACGAGCTATTCAACGATCTCACGAAGAAAAGTATCTATTTATCTGGTTACAAAAACCAGTATCATGTGTTTATATATGCCGAAGGAAGCATAAAAAGAATGGAGGATTAGCACCAACATTTTTCAGAATGCGCTGCATTACCAATAAAGGTTCCTGTCATTAAGTACCCCCCTGGTTGACGTTACAGCGTTCGCTTCGGCACCTCGAAGGCGTCAATCGATAGCCTTACCTTACATTGTAGTAACGGCAAAATTTGGTCCGCCACTGGAGACTGGAAGGCTATCATACGATAGAGTAGATTGGTTCAAATGGGACGGATTCAGCTTTAATCCCGCCTTTATTATTCAACGATTCAATAATGCACTTAAGAACCAACGTTTGGTTGTGTATAGCAGTCCTACCATTTGTTGTTATCGTACCTCAACTACAACCCTTGTCGAAAGAAGAGGAAGGAATCTACTGCGGTCACTCATTTTCTATCAATCCCGATGACCGGGAATATTGTGGGCAATGTAACCTCAGCACCAGAAGCGAGCATGCGCATGCGATTCCATCCGGATTAAATGTCCTGCTCCGTATAATGCTGAGCACCCCCCTCAACACCAAGAGCCGCGACTTGCCCTCAACGTTTCAATGTTTCATGCTTGCTGCATGCTTTTACTTCTCGTATTTGATATTTTCTGACCATCTTGTACACCACTTCATCGATTTGGTTTGTGGGCTTTATCAAATGGATGTACTGCGCATGCTGACAGCTGGGGTGCTAAAGCGAATGTTTCAAGTAGATTACCGCGTTTGTTTTCAGATGGAATCGTTTCTATCGCTATCGGAAAGCAATCCAAGTGCGAATACCGAGAGTCATCATTTGTAGAAGAAAGTGATACGATAGCCAAATGCAAGGTATTCTAGTGCTTACCATGATGCATTGAGGTATCACAACTTCACAAGCAGTCTAACACGCAAGCAATTGATGCAATCAAACTACTGCAGCCAGAAATAATAGGGTTACAGTGTAGACCCGCCCCGTATCCACCCACCACGTTTATTCCTTATTCGTCGCTATTACGAGGATGCATGATTGGCATATTTAATCCTTCCCACTGAGGTTAACCCTTTGGAAAGATCGACAGGACATTTCTCTCGTATCTTGTTGGTAAAGAATCTTTCTTACTGGCTAACAAGACTCAATCATGGATCATATGTCGGTCCCAACGTGGGGGTAATTGAGAGCTCATTGGTGGGGGGAACTGAAGCTTGAGCAGTAAGCGCTTGTGGGGACACTGGGGAGGAACCATCAACTCGGGAGGGAGGGTGAAAGTGGAAAATGTGCCAAGCATGGTCTAAGGTGGATGTCACCCTCTTAGTGTAAGAAGCACAGCTTGAAGATGGTGTGCCGCAGGATCGAATGGTATATGTAGGTGCCCCCGTTGAAATTAGTTCGATTTTTATGGTTCGAAATTCTTTCATACTTTTGTTGCTTTATAACACTCATGTTTGACATGTATAAGCAGAGTGAATGAGCTGCGAGAATACGATCGAGCAACCAGAAAGCTGATGATATGATATTAATCGATAGCCGGAATTTGTATCAATGGCAAACCAGATATTTGCTCTTCCACAAACGTGTCCGACATCAACTACGCCAATATCACAACCCAGAGTTAGACGCTCTCGTGCGAGTAAACCAAAGGTCAAGACTGGTTGTTTGACTTGCAAGTATGTTCACCGCCACTCTTGTTCCAAATCATGTTCATTCATACTTTCCAAGGCGATATGCTGAACAAATTTCAGATCACGAAGAGTCAAATGCGATGAGGCAAAACCAGGTTGTATGCGATGCGTAAGATTTGGACATAAATGCGAAGGTTACGCCTATCTTCACAGATCCAGTGTGAAGCCCACTGTTGGAACCAGCATCGCGCCACGAACGCTGATACCAAGAACTGGGTATCTGCCCATAAGTCCGGCTACTTCCCCCACTTCTGTGGCTTCCACGATCTCTTCTATCTTATCGCAGCCAGAATCTTCCGCTTCTCCACCCTCGACATGGAGAGATCAAAGTGCTGAAACATGTTTCCGAAACTTTGTGAGAGAGATTACGGAGAGTTCAGGTCACTTTGAAGTTTGGTGGGGTCTCATATTCTCTGGATGTCAATCGTCGTCGCTCGTTTTCGATGCTGTACACATGATTGGATCTCTCGATTTGCGACCGAAGAATCGGGGAGTTCATATAGGAACCTTCAGACACATGGCCACTTACCACGAATATTGCAATACGAAATGTTTGACGAAAAATAGAACAGTGCCATTTTCGGAGGGACCAGGAATAGGCGCAGGAATCATTGACATCGACGTGGAAAGCAGAACAACACTTATTACCCATCTACTTTCTAGTATGATGGCTAGAGGGAACGAGGTCATTAGTCATGAAAGAGTCTCGACTATGTACTTGGGATTGAGAGCACTTCGTGAGTGGGTAGTCAGGACATATATTCCCCAAGGTGGCCGTCTCGGATCGATGTCGGAAACTGCTTGTTTGAAATGCTTTTGTCGCTTGGAATCTAGAATCTTACGATACGCGGATGCAAAACCAGAACATGAAAGAAGGACAAGTCTAGGAGAACCAGATATTGAAATGATGCCGGGCCGATTTTCTAATCTTACAGAGGCGAAGAATGATTTGGAAAGGGTTATGGTGAAAAGTATGGAGTGGTTGGCTTCGACTCTTAAACGACATGATTTTTCAGCATGCCACAATGGCCAGGAAAATAGTTCTCACGATAATGGATTATTCTTTGATATTGATCCTAAATTTGAGGAGGTGAAAAGAACATTAAGGGAATATGAACGCTGGAATCGATCTTTCTCGCCTCTTTTTGAAGACCGCCAAAAGAAATGCCAATCCAACGATAAATTCCACTGCGATAAAGATGCGGATTTGTTATTGGCATATTTGTTAAGACTGAATTGGCTTTCCGGATACATCCTCATTGCTTCATCTAATCATCTTAATAGCCTTGACGTTGCCAAAGGAAGATTTTCAACGCAATTACAAGAGCTAAAAGAAATTGCTAAAATACTACGCTCAACCCCGACTTGGAGGAAAACTTTAGAGGAAAACGGAGATTTCGAACTCGCAACTGTGATACCATCGATGGTTGTGGGATGGGATGTTCGAGATAGAGATTTAAGACGAATTGCAGTTTCGATGTTGTTGAAGGGGGGAAAGTATGACCATTTGAGTGGGAGGGGAGTAAGAGGATTTTCTGGGGCGGTGGGGAGAGTTATGGAGAGATTGGTGGAGATAGAAGAGGATGGGCTAGAGGTGGATAGAGTTCTAGAGGAGGGTGCATCGTTAGCTGAGGAGACTAAGTGTAGGAATATCGAAATGGGATGGGATGCGGCGGCGAGAGTGGCTTTATGAGGTGCTGTAAGGGAAATCCGAGGCGATTGGGACTACCGGGATTTGAGGGGAGGAGAGAGATTGTTGTTCAATGTTAGTTGGGAAGAGGGGACTGAGGTGATGTATTGATTAGGATGGAAGTATTGGAAGATTGAGATAACTGTAAAGGTTCCAAATGTTATAATGGGATGGGATGGAATGGAATGGAATGGAATGGGACAAATTGGGGTAGGATAGGATAGGCGTTAGATATCATGGGAAAGCGGGGTCTATAGATTTATCACGAGGATCCACTTCAACACTTTACAGGTAGTTTATCAGCCAAAGCATCGAACCTAGATTTCTTAGAACTTAAGATTACTTCTCTATATGTAAATTTCACTTGCTTGTACATTTTATTAGTAATTAGTACCTATTCAAATATATACATCCAATTCTACAACACACGATTTTGATAACTACATCTAATCAACATAAATCAACACATCTGTTTTCCATTCCTAGATCCATCATAGATGCCATCCGAATCCAAACCCACGTTCAAATTCAACGAAGATACAGTTGTTCAATCAATCCAACTGAGGCTCAACTAAAAAATGACGGATGCTCGCTCGGTCGCAATCATCAAACACACTATGCATCATTGACAGGCTTACCATAAACCCTATAAAGTCTGTGGCTTGTGATCGGATTAGCCCTCTTTACTAATGGCTAGGTTTGGGGATCCCTGTGCTAGCTAGTCTAATCTAGCTTACCCCGCCTTATCACGTTGTAGGTAGCTTGATTCTTTGGATGAATGGTTGGAAGAAGGCTTACTCTTTTTCTTTCGAACGGTGTAGAATGGATTAGAGTCCTGTTTGTTGATTCAATCTTATTCATTTGGTTGTGATGTTGTGAAGATATACTTTATTCGGAATCTTTTTGATCTTTGACCTCTTTTTGTTTGATTTATACTAGATGTCGTTTTGACGAGGCGGTCGTGTTGTTGCCTAGATTTACATATATCTATCTTTACCTCAGCCTGGTTGATTTCTTACTCTTACCACGGATTTGGATTCGTGTACTGGACTATCAAATACCTTGGATTGGAGAGTCTAACTGATAATTCATATTGCTGGCAATTGCCACCAACTGTCATCACTTTGGCGAGACGGTCTCATGGTTGCCTAGATCTACATTTACCCTCAGCCTTATTGATATCTTACTCTCGCCACATAGCGAAACCAAGTATCATCTCGTAACTTCAGTTGGACGACCAAGTCAACGAGTTTACTCTCATTCACTCAGGCACTCCTCTCAATAGCGATAATGGAAGCCTCCGGATCCAACAACAACCGATCTACTGCTGGAGAAATCATCTCGAATGCTTCCCATGACATATTCGAGTTTTCCAATATGGAAATTGAGAATGCTGATTCGAAAAAGGCAGTTATCAAACAATCAACTACTAACGAGTTTCGTGAAGGATCAAAGCTTCTCGGGGAAACAGAAAATATGGAACGGAAAGATGAAGACGAAATTCCGCTTATGACATTCCATGATAGATATCAAGACGGCTTCAGATTTCCAGGTCAAATAGATCAAGTGGATCAAAGTATTGGTCAAAAAGGTGACCCGAGTTTAAATGATGGTGTGTATCTTTGAGTAAATCATACTTCACATCTGCCTGTCCTAATAAACTTTAATTCTATACTAACGAAATACCATCAAATAGTGCGACCCCATTTGACTTCAGCGTGGGGGGCTGCGGGTGAGCAACAACGCAAAGCTCGACAAGAGCTACATGAAAGAGATCACAATGCAGTCGAGTACAGCAAATCGCTTTTAGATGAAGGCGATACTCTGGTGTACGTCTCATATCCTGGAGGCATTACTTTCTACGACTCCAGGGGAGAACCACAACCATACAAAATTTATCGAGCAAGTAGCGACAAATTAAAAGCTCTTGGTTCAACCAAATTCTCTCGGATGTTCGAAGAACGGCCACAATATTGGGTGAGAAAAAGAAAGGGCCTTCTACATTATCTTCCAGAAAATATCAGATATGTGATTGATCTTACACCACTAGAAGAAGGTGACGAGGCAGTCGAATTGGTATCAGAGTTATCCTGCTCTCCAGGAATCAGGAATTGGTACTTGGCTGAAAAGCGATGTGGCGTCGAAAAGCATCTGGTTGCCGGTGATGATGATATTCCTGGACCTGCCATTGTACCAGCTAAAACTGCCGAACAGTTTGGATTAAAAGTCCCGGTAGACGGATACATAACCTTCCTTGCTTCACAGTCGAGAATGAACTCGTCTGTCAACGATAAATTTGTCTTTACATCTTTGGGTCGTACGAACCCTAAAGAGGATACTTTTGTTGATGGTAAGTCTGTCCAAGATTCCAATATGCAGAGAGCGATTAAGAATAGCTTGGAGGATAGTCATTTGTTTATTGGGCCTTCGGGAAATGCCCCGGTGGGAACTGCTCATGATGACTCTACCGAGGTAGCGGGGTCAAAGAAAAAGGTTCTAGATTATTGTCCGATCCGTCATCGATTTGGAGTCGAAAATCTTCTTAGGATCATTCAAGGTAAAGCACCTAAACTGGATTCGGCGCCTAAAGTATGGACACTATTTGTTTTGGCAAAGTATTATGAGTGTACAAGTGTTGTGGTAAGGGATCATTCCTTCATTTCAATATTTTTAAGTCTAACTTTATTTCAGATTGACTACATAACCTCATGGATCATGAATGGAAACAATATCAAATTCCTCGAAGTTCTTCCCGAAGCCAGTATAAACTTTGGGCTTGGATTAAAATCACCCATGATTACAAGAGCTGCGTTCTCAATTCTTGTTTCTGAAGAAGCGCTCAATGTGGCTTCAAGAACTTTTTGTGAAGGTCTTGGTAGGCGAGCAGACTACAAGTATCTTCGACCTCGTGAAGAGCTTGATGAAGATTTATGGAACGTTATTCAACATGCCAGTCAAGACTTCTGTGATCGTGTTCAAAAAACAATTACCGATTTGTTGGATGAAAGAATGGCATGGTTTTTGAAACTTCCAGAGTACAGGAAAATTTGCAAGTTTGAAGACTATTGCTATAAGAAAAAAGATAAGAGCAAGAAAGACGAAGCCATATACGAGAGAAGAAAGACGGTTATTCAGCAGTTACTCGTCAATCTTCGTCGATTTGTTCGAGGGAAAATTATTACTTGTCTGAATCAAGGACTAGAAGTCTTTGAGATCACTATGGCAAGTAAAAGTCAACGCGAAGCCCAATGGGAATTGCATGCATCTTCAGGAGTCGAATCGATTGAGGGTCCAGATCCAAATTACATTTACAACGGTCTTGGTGATCGTGAAAGAGTCTTGCTACCACATTTCTGGCGTCGTCTTCGAGATGTCTTTTGGGAGGATGATTTTCAGAGCCCTAAACTTAACTTATATGATCCGCAGCTAATTCGCTCAGGCAAAAGTCTTGTGGACAGAGATGATATCCGCCTGATAAATACTTGCGACCTGGAGATCTATGCCAACGACTTTAATCGTGAAGTGAGCCTTGCGATTAATAAGGAGAATTACAATCCATCGTCACCCTCGAACCCGTTACCTGCTATCTCACCAGCTGAAACGAAGAGCCTGGATGAAGACAAACCTAATTATGCATTTATGAGTGCATATAACCAAGACCATGCATATCATCAGGCACGTCTATCGGGAATCAGAGCATTAGAACTTGAGCTTGCCGAATTTGATGAGAAAACAGATGATACAGCATCAAAATACTCCGTCTCAACTGACGCTTCGACTAAACCATCACTCAATCTACCTTTTCGCTCGAAAGGGAATAAATTTGCGGTCGAAAACAGAAAGAATGAATATGATCTTAATGCTCAACCGGGACCTTCAACCAAGGCAAAAGAGAAGTCGAAGAAATCTGCACCAAAGGTTCTCGAGAACTTCTTGCAGCATATGGGACAAAAATCACTTGATGATTATAAATCATACAGGGCCGCTCCACTCATAGGTGTCTCACACCCAAATATGGACACTGGTTCTGCTATGCTATCGAAAGATATCCCAAACTTTACCTTCGCCAATACATCCACACCCTTCTCCGCCAACTCCAACCCTTATCAGCTAAGCGAATCTCCTCACAATTTCAAACTCTGTTGTTTCCTCGACGAACTAAAAGCTTACACGGACCATATTTGTCACTCCATACTCTCTAAATCAGACGGATCGGAAAACAACATGTTGACAGATACATTGCTTTGTTTGACCGATAAGGAATGGCAGTATTTACCGCTTTGGGCAGGAGGGAATGATGATGGCAGTGGTGGTGTGACGAGCGCGGACGTACCACCCGATTATTATTCTAATGTGGGAGGATTGACACCGGGAGTTATGTATAAAGGGTCTAGGGGATTTGTGGGGGTGGGGACAGGAATGGGAAGTGAGAGGAATAGTAGTCTGGATGTTAAGAATGGGAGTGCGAGGACTGAGACAGAAACGGGAGCTGGGAGTCAAGCAGGGAGTCAGATTAGTATATCGAGTGATGATGACAGTGGAAGTGATACGGGAAGTGTTTTCTCGACAGGAAGTTATGATATGGCTGCTATTACGCCCACGGGAAGTGGAAGTGAAAGTGATTTCGAAATTGTTAGTTCTGGAGAAGATGAAGGGGTAGAGAGTGGTGATGATTTTACGATTGATGGGGATAGTGTTAGTATTAGTGAGAGGGAGATGTCGGATGGTGAATTTGATGAGGATGATAGGGATAGTGAGAAGGGAAAGGGGAAGGGAAAAGAGATAAAGGATGAGATGATGGATGAAGATGGGGGTGATGGAGAAGATGATATGGATTGGACGGATCAGGAAGATTTGGTAGTGGAAGATGATTGGGAGGGTTCTTTTACTGATTTGTAGGGTAGAGAAGAGGAAGGTAGGTTTGGAAACGATGGAATAATGAAATTATGATGGGATGGGATGGGACAGGGAAAAAGAGAATCGGGGAACTGGGTAGCAATGATACAATGAAATATACGATATTATTCACCGGGGCAATGACAATATAGTATCCCAAAAGCGAATTTGAACCTCGTGACAGAAAGATATATCATGATTCATAATTTAAGAAGGGATCGATAATCAGTTTGCGGGCATATGTTAACTAGCACTATAAAGACAGTTCATATACTCGAGTATAGTTATAAAAACTTTAAAGTGTGATATTCCAACTTTAGATCACTCTGGATTCTGTGAAATGATACCTCTCCCCTTTTTTCCCCGCCATTCTTTTGATCTTTTTGAAGTCAACTCTGGATTCGATAGTTAAGAATAGCTTGTATTATTGTAGAATCTGAAGGATACTGCTATGCTGATATTCTTCTTAAGACCTCGACTTCGAACTTGTAGTTGAGATGGAGAGAGTGAGATGTTGAGTTTTTATTTGATATGTTTGTTAATGTGGATATTTAGGATTGATGAGTTGATGGCTTTATAAAGGATAAATTGATGATGGATATGATTGGAGAGATGAGTAGCAAAGTATCGGTGTTGGAAAAAGGATTTTGGGGAGATGAAGAGAGGTACGCAGTGCGAGGAAGGCATACTTTATTTTGGGGATTCAAAAACTCAGAGGTTGAGGATAGGATGAATTTGTGGTTTTTACTTGTAAATTAGTAGAGTGCAAAATGCAGTACTTTGTGTTTAAGATTTAATCAATGGTTGTTAGTTAGGTGTAGCAATGGTAAAGTACATTTTATGTGATAACATCCTTTAGGAATAGATAATAAGCTAACCTGATTCTTTAGGATAATCGAATTTTTCAATTCAAGATATTTGGCATACAGTTCTTCTGAGAACATCGCGAAATTTGATAGGGAGATGGTTCGTCCCAGCAAGTACAGGGATAACTCTATAATTTCCTATCAAGATCAGAGCTCAAAAGAACGAATATCGTCTTCGATACAAACATCACAGAATTAGTACGCATACCTACACATGGTTATCTGTCTTGGTACTGTGCCTGATCGGCCCCATTATGTAAAAGTGATGACTGTTCGTCTCATCCCTCGCTCTCTCATCTAACTATAAACCTGACAGATCACCACCCATCCCAAAGAAGACCACGAATATCTTCCCATCGCCCCCGTTCGCAAGCATCCCTACCCCTTCTAAATCAAGCTTCGCAATAACCGTAGCTGGGTCTGGTCGCGCGGCCAACAAACTCTCCTCATCACCACTCTTCCCGAACCCTCCTATCTCAAGATCGACGAATTCTATGAGGTCCCCTTTCTTGCGCTCAGGGAAGTCAAGGATAAGTACGGTATTTTATTATCCGTTCCGGCGAAGCATCGTGGAGGTTTAGCCGAGCTGAAACTGCACATTCGTCGTCGAGATTCGGAACGCGATTATGAGAAATTATGTCGCGGTGTGTAGAATGAAGATGGTTTACTCGAAACGATGGGAAATCTAAATTTGGATTCTGAGGTCGAGAAATTGGGTTACTCGTGTCAGATCTTTTGATTCCCTTCCCTAGGCGTCTACCGACATGGTCACTAGATAGGTTTCATATTGTAGTATACCATGGTGTATCCATAGATATGTATTTGTTCGATGAACTGAGCAGATAACTCAGCTTCGGCTTCGAGGAGCTTGTTGGTGTGAGCAAGAGGCTGCTAGTTAATCTAGTATTGCTTGCTTGACTATGCAGTCATTCTGGTTGAATAATAATGGCATGCTCGGAGAAAGGAATCGGGTTTGAACACTTGAAATGAGGCATTGTGTGGGATGAAGGAAGAGATGGATGGAATTAAATTACGAAAGGATTACATCCGTTTGATAGGTTTCAAGATATTAATTTCGTGCTTAACACATATAAACTCTTTTACGAATTCCCCTGAATGTGGGAGAAATTCGGTTACAGTTACATTCACCACATATAATTTTCTTGATGTAGAAGATATTTGTAGCTATTCGAGAGAATTACTATCATTACTCAGTTCAACGTGAGAATTAATCCACTATGAAATGTTTGAAATGCAAGAATCACTATCTACATACGTCTTACATAGTACCCTCTCTGGATTGTTTGATCCGCTTGTCCTTTAAGTCGGGTACCCTACTTTCGGGCCACCTCCCTTTTGGGCCATTTTTCGTACCAAAAATGGAATTTTTAATTTTCTTATTTATGAATAGAATTTATTAAAAATTTATATATATATAATTTAGATCGTTTTGAATCTAATCTGAAATTTTTAGATTTTTAGGATTTTTTTATATTAAGATTTAAAGCTTCAAAATATCGATTTTTAAATTTGTATGAGAATCACATATAAATTTAAAACTTTTATAAAATCTTTAATAACTTTTTAATAAAAATTGCTAAAAATAAACTAAAAAGTTTTATTATAAGTTTATAGTATATTTACTTTAAAAGATAAAAAAAAATAGAAAGCTTCTTATAAATAGATATTTAAAAGAATACCCTCAAAATTATAGGGATTATTTATATTACTTTAAACTTACTATATACTATATCTCTATATTTGTTAATTTTTTTTAAATTTTTTTTTTTGAATTTTTATATAAATTTAAGTTCAAAACTTTCAAAAAGATATATAGTTTTCTTTTAATAATTATTGTTAAAAAGTTATTAAAGATTTTATAAAAGTTTTAAATTTATATATAATTCCTATACAAATTAAAAATTCAATATTTTAAAGCTTTAGATCTTAATACAGAAAAATCCTAAAAATCTAAAAATTTCAGAATAAGCCTAAAATAGCTTAAATTATATATATTCAAATTTTTATTAAATTAAATTATATATTGATAGAGATATTAATAAGCCAAAAAAGCGATTTTTGATATAAAAGGGTGGCTCAAAACGGAGGTGGCTTGAAAGTAGGGTGGTCGATTTATTCGCTATATAATCCAGCGGGAAATTGTGTATAGATACAAACTGGTAGGTACGCGTTCTATGGTTTACTTTAATCCTCCCCATATACGAAAAATCAAGGAGTTGCGCGCTTAAACCTGTTTTGAAAACTTCAGACGGATTTTTGGTGTAAGGATGAAGATTGCAGAAAGGATCAGAAGAACGAGTAGTCTGAAAGTCTGGACGAGAGAAAAGATGGGCTATTATAATAATTCAGTCTAGTGGCATTCAACACACACACAAAAACTCAAACGAGTCAAAGATGCATTTCCAAGACTTCAGATTATTATCCACTGATCCCCCCCCCCCAAAAAACCACACTATCACAAACTTCTATTCAATCTTTTCCCCTTCTTCACTTTCCCAGTCTCAACCTCACCCTCACTAACTTTCCTCTTCTTTCCCCCAACCGCCCCATTTCCCCCCGTCTTCTCCATCTTCCCCGTTTCCCCCTTCCCCAACCCCCTCACCAACAACTGCCCCGTGTAAACCGGATACGGATTTCTCGTCTTCCTACTCCCCCTCAAACTCACCTCCTCTCCCACTCTACCCATTTCTTGAATCGGACTCTCCTGCGCGATCTCCACATCCGGTATCTCTTCATCTTCGCTTTCTACTAATGTCTCGACTTTATGCGGGGGATCGTATTCGAGCTTTTCTTTTGCGTGACTTTTCTTTTTCGCGTGCGCTTTAGAGGTAAGTCGGATGGTTATTGAAGGTGCGGGAGAGGGCGATGGAGCGGGATTTTTTGAATCTATTTCTTGACGCAGGGAAGGGTTGTGTTTAGGTTGTGGTTTGAGGGGATTAGGGGACTCTAGTTCTTCGTCTGAAGCTTCGGAATCGGAGCGTTGAGGATGATAGCGTGGATCTCGCGGGATCTTTGTGATATTTTTCTTTTTCGGAGATTTGGTTTTGAATGTCCTTGACCGGGGCTCAACTGTGAAAGGTGGAAGTTCAGGTTGTAAAAGTTCAGTATCCTCAGTTTGTGTTTCCATGCTTGTAGATGTAGGTGTATCTGTTTGTGTTTCCGCATTTTGCTTATGCGTTATACGTTGTGCTTCCACTTTCGCCTCCGCATCTTGCAATTGTTTCTGCAAATTTTCAATCTCCCCCATGCTTTCTCCAGCCACAATTTTCCATCTCGTAATCTCGACTTCGAGATCGGATAATCGTGTGGAAGTCTTGATTGAGATATCGAGAAGCTCGGTCACTTTTCCTTCGCTGGTTCGGTGTAGTTCGTGAAGTCTCTTGATTTCTTCGCGGAATTGTTCGTCTTCGTTTTCTCTTAGTAGGAGAAGTTCGTGTAACCTCTCGATTTCTACTCGGTATTGTTCTTCTTCTTCATCTCTTAATTTCTTCAAGAACTCAGCCGTCTGTGTTTCACGAGCTTTGAGAAGATTCTCCAGTCTTTCGGCCTCTGATTGCTGGGTATCTTTTTCCAGTTGTAAATCTCGAATTCTCTCTTCGGCTTTCCTGAGTTGTTCTTCGAGTTGTGTCGTTTGCGTCTCGCTAGCTCGAAGAAAACTTTCTAATCCATCAGCTTCAGCTTTATTTTCATCTTTCTCCCGGAGCAAGTCTCGTATTCTTTCTCCATTCCTACTCAATTGTTCTTCCAATCCCGCAATCTTCGCATCCTTCGTACCCTCACTCTTCATCTCCTCCTGTGTCGAATGTAAAAGCTTAGCGAGCGCCGCCTCCCTCTCTTTGCTCTCCTTCAACATTTTCTCCAAACTCTCAAGCGCCCAATCACGTTCTCCATCTTTTTCTTTCCACTCATTCATTTTCAATTTCAATTCCTCCCTTGCCTCTCTCAATAGTCTCTTCAAATTATCCCACGCCTCTTTTTGACTCAACGGTCCATTCACCAAATCCATACAATCCTCCAATCTCCTCTCCGCTATCTCCGCCTTCAACCCCTCCTTTTCATCTTCCGCTTCCCCCTCCGCAACATCATATTTCTGACATATAAGCTCCACCAAATCATCCGTATCTTTAAGCTGAACTTTCAAATGCGCAATAACTTCCGGATCAGTAGCATTCGGATCAAGAGGAGATCTATGTCTATTCAATCTCAAAGATTCAACTCTCGGATGCGTATTTGATTTATTAAATGATAACCCAATATACTCATCCAATCTCACTTTCGACTTTTTTCGCCTTCTTCTCCGCAGATTTGATATCGAATTGCGCTTTCTGAAGCCGTTTTTCCAATCCATCAATTTTCCACCGGAGTCTCGCAATCGTTTCTCCGTTCTCCAAATCCATGTCTGTGAAGGGAAGTTCAGGATCGCGATCGGGATGTCGTTTCAGGGTGTATATTTTCTGCTCCAGAATTTCATTGTGTTGCAAGACGGTCGTGAGACATCCCACCGCACTCTTGGTAAGACTATTCCTCTGTATCGTTTTATTCATCAGTTTTCGCTTCGTTTGGTAGAGTTCGATCAATGCTCGAGCTAATCTTGCGCTCATTGAGTCATCGTGGACATCACCGGTAAGGTCCTCATATTCCATGTACTTCTCTTCCAGAAATCTTTCGAGAGACTTGGTTTTTTCTTTCTCGTCGCTCAATTCACGCTGGCATTGTCGGTAATTTTTGGTCATTTCCTTGCATTGTTCATATTTTTCCTCGTTGGGATAGACGTTAACATCGAGTTTCTGGGATAATTGATCCATGAGTTCCTTGATGGATGTGAGATTTTCCTCCACGTGTGATTCCTCCATAGCTAGATCTCTTTCCTTTATACACCATTCGAGCTCCGCTCTAACTCTTGTTAACTCCCTCTCCGCATTGAAATCGTTTGTATTTTCAGCAATACCAAATGCCAATTGTTCTCTCAATCCTAATGGACCATCGATTTCCTCTTCCAATTCCCCCACCCGCTTCTTAAGAAATTCCCGCTCCTTGCGCAATTCCGAAACTTCTTCAGCATCGACATCAGCACCCGTCTCTATCATCTTCATCACTTCATTTTCTGCCTCCTCATACAATCTCCTGTAACCATTCGAGGCATTTTCATTTGCATCATGCTGAGTTTGTGTGAATATAAAATCCTGTATATCCCCCATATCTTTCTCCTTCTCCTTGCTCCTTAGATCCGCCAATACCTGCAACTGTTTTTCGAGCTTCCGATTTTGTCTTCGGAGAATCTTACGTTCCTTGTCCATGATATCGAGTAATACCATTCCCTCTTTCCTCTTAGTCTCTTTGCGTTCACGATATGCTTCGAAATGAACGGGTGTCAGACTGAGGATTGCGCGTGTTACGTGTGCCATGTCATGATAGTGCTCAAGACGCAGGTTCCTTGTCTCGAGTTCTTTGATGCGGTTGACAAGTCGCTGGTAGTGAATATCTCTGTCTTTGCGATAACTTTCCAGCGATGTGTCGTTTTCGTCTTTTTCGATACTTTCTTTTAGAGTTTCTTCTTCTTTTTCTTCGTCTAGTTCTTCGTCTTTTTCGCCATCGCCTTCTTTCATTTCCATATCCTTTTCTGAATCTTCATCTTCTACCGATTCGATGGTAGATGACTGTTGTCTCAAAGGAGAAGGGGCATGCAAGATTCGTCTACTGCCTTTGAAATTAGCACTACCTAGGCCGGCACTGGGACTGAATCTACCAGGCGGCTGCTCTGAGGGCCGCTCTGGTGTTCCTCTCTGTGATGTGTCTTCTTTCGACGTAACCTCTTTTGGCGTAGTACCCATGAGATTCTCAGTCAAGATCTCCAATTGATGTCTGAGATCATCCCTTTCTGCCATCAACACATGAATTTGTTCTATGAGAGCCTGTACTCGTGCACTCACTACTGGTGGCGTCTCCGACACTCTCGCCGACCTACTCCTAGCCTCTTCCTGTAAATGCTGTACATGAAGTTCTTTTCCCCTAATAACCTCCTTTGCTTCCTGAAGCTCCTCTGCAATCCTATCTCTCTGCTGCTCAAGAGAAGCATCATCCAATTCTCCTTTCTTATCTTTCCCCTCTTTCAAATTTTCAACTTCTGCTTGCATTTTCGTCGCCATCTCCCGTGTTTTCACAACCTGCTCTCCCAATTCTTGAGTCTTCCTCTCTGCCTCAAGTTTCTCCCTCTTCAACACCTCTAACTGTCCACTCATTTCTCTCGTCGCATATTTTTCCCCTTCATCGAAAGCTACATCCCTTTCATCTCTCACCTGTTTTATACGATCTAATCTTGTTTGCGATTCCTCTTTAGCCTCGAGAAGCATACGATTGAACGTTTCCAGTCTTATACGAAGAGATTCATTTTCGCGCTGACAAGCTTCCAGAGGATTTTCTTGGAGATGCCGGATATGCTCTTGGGTAAATTCCGAGTGGTCGAAATTGTATTCCGACATTTTCATGAATGGCGGGTAGATATGAATGATTTCTTGCGAAAATTCATCTTTCTCCAAAAAAAATTGCGTTTGAAAGTTCTTAGAATTTAACAAAGTAATAACCTACAGTAATCAAAGAAATTCACTGACCAATTGTAAATGTCGAAATTAGGTAGGTGTGGGATTGTGAACAAAGTGGGATGACTCCTTTGTTCACTAGCGAATGTTGTAGCTGTTTCCAATTGAAGAATATGATGATAACAAAGGCATGAAATATGGGCTGAGACATAACCATTAGTAGCCAAGAACTTGTAGTGGTTAGAGAATCGTTAATTATTTGGCAAGCATCATCTTGTAAATATCAAACATCAAATAAGATTAATATTTCAATAAATTGATGAATATGTATGAAATGAGATGAGACTAATACAAAATTTTACCCTAAAAATACAAAATGTTTTCCAACAGAATGAATGCGTTGAGACAGACACTCGTCCTCACAATCAACTGACCATGGGCACGATTGACCATTAAGCCTTATGAGCAGCCTTCTTAGCATTGCTTGGAAGCACCTGCTTGCTTACACCACTTGGACCATCACTTTTAGGAGCATCAAGAGGCCTGTTAAGTCCGACACGATCTTGAGTGTTATAAGTACCAATTCCACCATCTTGGTCTGCCTCAGTAATGAGTTCCTTGCGACGTGTGTCGACGAGAAGACGGATGAGATCAGGTCTCATGTAATGACCACCGAAGTCTCCGAGAGCCTTTGGGAGGTGTGATTGATCGAGATCGATCTAAAATATCGTTAGTATAGAATTTTTTAATGGGGCAAATGCTGGCTATCTTACCTCGACGAACATCAAGCCCTCAAATTCCTCATCAGCCTTAGCAAGGCATTGTCCGTCGGGTCCGAAGATTCTGCTGTTGCCGTTGTAAAGGTTGTGATCTTCACGCTCAACTCCAGGTGGAGTGCACTTGTCAACACCTTCCTTGGAAATACGTTGGAATGGTGCGAGAACGTAAGTTGCAGTCTCAATAGCGTAGGCTGGAGAAACAATATCGGAGTTGGGGTTGCTAGTGTTGGTCCATGGGTCTAATGGAGTGCGAGTTTCCTCATGTGGGTAGATTGGCCAGCCAGCAATGTGGACCTGATGATTTGTGAGACATATTTCTTCAAGTACTTGTGAATGCGATCTTACCTGTTCTCCCTCGGAAACGTTCATTGCCTTCAAGAATGGGTTCATGTTTTCCCAGCAGTTCAATTGCCCAACTCTTCCGATGTCTGTCTGAACGACACTCTTGAAGGTATCTCCTGATCCATCGCCGTAGACAAGCTTCTCAACATGAGTAGGCTTGATCTTTCTGCGGTGGTTGAGAACTTCTCCGGTTGGGGAAATCAGAACTTGAGAAATGTAAAGAGTTGCGAAATCGATTTCACTGTATCCCAATGAAACGTAGATAGCGTTTTCGCGGGCAGCTTCACGAATTCTGCGCATCTCGTCTGAGTCAGACGCAAGACTGTTCTCGCGGTATGCCTTAAGCATAGGGAGAGATTGTTGGTAGTTGACCTTCCATGCCCAGTATGGATAACCAGGAATCCCTATGAGTGCGTAAGTAAATCGCGAAGAACGAGACCAAAGCTAGATATACTTACAAACTTCAGGGAAAGCAACAAGTTTGCAACCTGCTTTTCCAGCTTCGTTGATCCAGTGAATGGTCTTCTTGACAGACAGTTCGAGATCGAACCATCCAGGCTCAGCTTGGACAGCTGCGGCCTTGTACTTCTTGATTTGAGCAGGCATTTTGATATCTGATATGATAGCTGTTTGTTGTTGATTTTTTTTTTGGACGATTGCTGTTTGCTATTGTTGGATGTTGAGAAGATTGTGTGGAGAAATGAAAATATTTGGATGAAGTCGAGCTCTTATACAACTCAGAAGTTACCCCCAATACCAGGAAACTGTGATTTTGATTTCATGCATTTCGATCATCATACGATTGAGTTCAAATCCCGCCCCAAATTTGGGACGGCAATACGTAGGGAGGATGAGGGGTAGAAACATGACGACGTCGCATGCAGGATGCCTTGCAACCTTATGAGGATACTGTAAGCAGAAAGAATTAGTAACGACATACAATGAAGTTATTTCTAAAAAAAAAAGCTGCTTCATGCAGCATCTACAATCTGGAAGATTAGCCGTTTGAACTCGTTTTTTGATTGTATATCGGTGGATGCTCGGAATGTAGTAATCGCTTCAAACATGCTCCCCGTATTTCTGGATCTGCCGTGAAGATCACGAATCGGTTTGCCCCGAGATAAGGAAACCAAAATTCACGATCACGGCCATAAGACAAGACTTACTAAAAGCGACTTCGAGCCATCTTAGAAACCTGACCAAGTTGTGAATGTATATGTGAATATCTAAACTGTAGAAGCAATTGCCTCAAATCCCAACACTAGCTGGCGTTACAACAGGTGTTTGTCCACCACGATAAAATGTTCAAAACAGCTCCGAAAGATAGAATGGAGCATATTCTACGGAGATCATCTAGGTATAGCCTGCAAGCTGATGATTGTGATGCAACGCAATGTTGCAGCACCTCTAGAATTTCAAATCCCGAAATGATGACCATATGCAAATGCAGCAATCATACGATCGGATCGCAATTGACCCAGAAGAAGGATCAATAATCACAACCCAGCAAGTACATGGACTCCATGAGAGACGAACCTTCGATGATATCTGGAAAGAGATTCTTGCCGTTGCAGTCCTTTCGTTGTAGTTGGAGAATTACCCAGGTGTTGGAGACTGAAGTATGATTATGTAATCGACAGACGGTTTGTACAATGCCGAGGACCAGCCGAGATCACGAGCAAATATGGGATAGCATCGGGAACCAACTTCGAGCAATACACCTAATTATTGTAATTAATTCACAGAAATTAGTTAAGAACCTGCTGCTTCTATGACATTAGACTACGAAGAAACATCGCAAGAAATCAAAAACGAAAGGCATAAATGAGTAAAATACAAAGACAAGACTATGGCAGACTTTACATATAGAAACATTGAGATTGTTTTTAAATAAAACATCAATCCGTTTTGATTAATTATCTCATAGTCATCGTGTCTATGTACAGTGTGGAGCTAAGTAATACAGATGGGGGATATTATGTGAAGTGTACAAGATACATCTATTTCATGAAACCAGCCTTTCCATCACCATCAGCATCGACCTTTGGGTTGAGCTTGTCCATCAAGCTAGGCTTCTTGTGAGACTCGGTGGAAGAGTGGGAAGTAGTGTGGTGGGCATCGCCAGCAGTACCAGTATGTGAGTGAGAACCATTGAGTGAACCGTTGTGTGTACCGGTGTGAGCACCAGTGTGTTGTCCGTGGATACCTTCTCCCTCAGTCAAAGAGGTAGTACCTCTAGCACCGTCGCCTCCGAGAGTACCGCCAACAGACTTTGGCTCACCTTTGAAAGCATCAGTGCGCTCCTCGCGGCCTCCTAGGGAACCTCCTTGAGCTCTGAACTCGCTCATGCTGACAGCAGGGAGAGCGGTGGCAGTGTGGTGCTTAGCCTCGTTTTGATGAACCTCGTGGACTGGGACGGTAGTGTGGACAACAGATGGTTGAATAGTCTCCTTTTCGATGACTGGTTGAATGGTCTCGTGGACGTGGTGATGAATATGCTCACCAGCAACGGTGGCACCCTTGGCTGCGGTGTGTTGAGTCTCTCCGACAGTTCTGGTGTTCTTGAATTGGGCTTGTTCAGCAGCGAGACGTTCCTGAATCTGCTTGTCATCTCCGTGCTTGACGTTACGGTGCTCAACGGCTCCGAGTTGATGGGTGTGTTGCTCTGGAAGGACTTCACGGTCTCGGATAGGCTGAACTGAAGTGTGATGGTGATCTTGGTGAACCTCGCGGTCAATAGCAGTCGTTGCTTCTTCGTGGCGGGTCTTGGTTATGTGCTCATTTTGAACGGCTGGGTTGATTGTCTGCAATAAATCATTAGCACTTTCTAAGCTGCGGACTGAAGGACAGGAACTCGTACCTCGTGAACAGTGGTATCATGCTTTCCATCCTTGGAGAGGAAATCACTGACAGCTGACTTGGCACGATCCATTTTGATTTGATGTGTATATGAAGGTAATTAGGTGTTTGTTGGGTATAGTGGATTGAGTTTGAAGATTGTTGATTGTTAATTGCTTGATTGTTTGTGTTGAAAATGCAAATGAGAACGAGATGGGAGGATAGTCTATAACTTATAGTCCCGAGAGCCTCGAGATGATAGCTCCTCCCCCGCACCTAGCACTGTCTACATCATCATACTAGATACAATAAGTTGTACTTTCCAGATTGGGATAGCTGTGTCTTGCAAATACCTGATTTTGTGAGATCCGGAGAATGCGTTACCAAGTGGGCTGTGTATCGATGCTGAGAATAAATCAGCGGAGGTTCGTATGGAATTGTCTAGTCCTTACATGGTAGACAAAGGGTGGGAGGATGTGCCGTGAGGTCAATTGGCACTACTTACGCACTTTGCCTCCACTTCTAAATCATATTGCCTTCCAGATGTGCCTTTGGTGATTGGGTGCCAGTCTTTGCCCGATCAACGTCAAAATCCCATGTTGGCATCTCAAGTATGGTATTGGCAGTTATGTAAGAGTGGGTTTCGGTTGTTGCGCGAGTAAAAGCGGAAGGATCTATGATTTCCATTTCCAAAACAGCTGAAGTGAGAAATAGTTTGTGAGATAGCGTGCTGTATTCATGATCCATACTAGAAACTTTATTTGAGTTACGGATCCTGAGAAGAAAGTCTAACTACTAGTTATTTGTGCTGTGGCTTCTTGACGCCATGAAACTTGCAAGATTACTAAGAATTTGAATTTTTGAGCACAAGCAGAGCCAATCATGTATATTGAGAGTTTTTGAGTAGTGCAAAGTAGCTGACAGTCCGAGACTCGTATCAATCTCCTCATTGTTGAGTTCTGCAGAAATGTTAATTCTTGAATG